TAAAGTTACTGTCAAACACAACATACAATTCATAGACAAACTAATGTCTAGGATTGAAGGGGAGAATAATCATAACAATGATACATCAAACAATGATGAAACTCTTCCTAATAATAATAATAAAGATAAAGAACCTGTTATACAACACTCTACACAAGAGCTAAGACTGGTTAAACAAACTATAGGTTTAAATTACAAAGACAATATAAACCTAACTATGTATCTAACAGAATTTAACAAATTCCTTAACAAAGTCTATAACAATCCATTAATGTATTACAATACTATAACACATATAGACAAAGAACAGTAGATTAAAGCTATAAAGGATGAAATACAGTCACTTCAACAATGAAACACATAGATATATACTATCCCCCCTATAAATACAAATATAATTGGAACGAAATTTGTCTATAAAATCAAAAGACTAGCTAACAGCTGAATAGACAAATACAAAGCACAATTTGTAGTACAAGGATACACTCAAAAGAATAGAATAGACTTCTATTCTGACAACTTATTTGCTCTAGTAACAAAACTATCAACAGTACAATTATTGTTATCTTGGACAGTATCTAAGAACTACAAAATACATTAGATTGATGTAAAATCTGTATATCTTTACAGAGAATTAAATGAGGACAAACTCATTTATGTGAAACTGTTACTAGGCAGGCTACTTACAGATATTAAACCTGAACAAGCATTATACTTAAATAAAGCATTATACAGATTGAAACAAGCAGGTAGACAATGGTACAAGAAGATTACCAAACTACTGCTTAAGATCAGATTAGAACAAGCTAATTACAATCACACTGTATTTTACAAGAAACAAAATAATAAAATGATTCTTGTAACATTTATGCACATCAACAATATTACAATTATTAGTGAAACTATTGCTATAATAACAGTATTTAAACATGCATTAAGACAACACATTGTATTTACTAATAGTAACAAAATACATTGGTTACTTAGTATTAAAATAAGTCAAGATAGACCTCAACAAACAATTAGCTTATAGCAAAAGCATTATATTGAAAGTATAATCAAGCATTACTACTTCAAAAATGAAAAGGCACTACAAACACCTATTACTCCTGGAATAGATCTATCTAACAATACAAACAATATGTATAATACAAACAAAAGTAATAATGAAACAACACTATACATAAATATGGTAGGATTGTTAAGATATGTTGCAGACTGCACATGGCCAGACATATCTTATATTACTGGGCAATTAGCATGCTACTTACAAAAGCCCTAAACACATTACTACAAAGTAGTGAAACATTACTTTGTGTATTTAAAATATACAACAAATTGCTGGCTTCAACTTGGAAGCACAAACACCTTAAAACTACAAGGCTATTGTGATACAGACAGACGAATGACAGAAGGACATAAAGCAATAAACAGCTACATCTTTCAATTAGCTAAATTGACTATATCTTGGTCAAGCAAACAGCAAAACCTGGTACCACTATCTGTTTACAAAGCAGAGTTGTAAGCACTAGCATATGCTACTCAAGAAGCTATTTGGCTCAAACAATTTGCTAAAGAAGTACTGTAGACTGAATCAGTACCCATTATGATTTATTACAATAATCAAGGTACAATAAAGACTGTAAAGTCTGACAAAATAATGTACAACACTTGCACTAAACATCTTGATTTACAAAAAGACTTTGTACAATGTTACATTCAAAACAATTACATTAATGTATGCTATGTTCAATCACAGAACCAATTAGCAGACATCCTTACAAAGGCTCTCCACGTCCTACAGATCAAGCATCTAAACAAACTATTAGGCATACAGTCTTAGTTCTTAATTAATGCTTGAAGGGGAGTATTAGATTGCACTCTGGATTAGGAAATCCCCAATTGCCTTATGTAGAATTACTGCACTTGGAATGTCTCAGACTATCAGACTTCACTATGTAGTATATAAGGTAGACACTTGCTTGATGTCTCAATAAGAGAGAGTACTTAGGGCACTCCTGCTACACTTGTTAAAACTTAACAATTATTATTATTATATAAACATTTTGCAATAATATTACAGTATTTCAAGTCTTAATACATGTTTTCTACTATGAGAAAAGGTGTTGTGAATGTAAAATGACAGGGGTGGTTCAAGGAGTAGTGATGGTTCAAGGACTGATGGTCTGACACACAGTGACTGGCCACGTGACTAGTACATCCAAGCAGGGCTTCACCTTGTCAACTCTTTATCTGCCTCCTGACTCTTTTCCTAAAAGAATGAAAAAATCGTCTTTTCAGAAGTAAGCTGCCTTTGCTTTATTGATCCACCCTCGTTACTGATCATTGATTTTTCCTTCCTGTTTTGTTTTTCCTTGATCTCTTGTTGACATGACAGTGTCCTCTGTCATTGTTCAAGAGCTTGCTCAGAGACTCAACTTTGACAATGATTTCCTTGCTGACTGCTTTGCTTTAGGCAAGCTCTCAATCTTGGGGGACGGGAAGAAGACAGTCATGGACGATGTTGTCAAGGCAACCCGCCTCACTGATAGGTACCCGAACGCGAACAGTGATTTTTATGGAAGTGGCCTTGCCTGCATCTACAAGTCAGGCCCTAGCTGGCCTGTATGCAAGGGTCCTGAGGCTCAGGGCATCGTTCGCGAGCTTCGCCCCGTCATCGGTCACGCGATTGGGTCCAAATGGCTCTCTATTGGCCAGCTCATTTACGAGAGCCTTGACTCCATCCATGTGAAGTGGACTTCCATCGATCCCCTTGCTTACGCCAACGAAGGGGAAGCTAGACCATTCTGTCCTCTCATCGTCTCCGTCGGTGTGGAGCCCCAGTCCCTCCTCTACGACAACGCCGTTGCCGCTGCCGACGGCGTCAAGAGGATTCTTGCCGAGGCTGGCTTCCCCGACGTCGAGGTGGCCTTCGTCGAGTCCACCATCACTCGTTCCGTCGCTGCGGGCCCCAAGCTCCTCTCGTTCAACCCTACCCTCGACGACGTCCTCGAGCTTCGCAAACCATTCACTACTATTCTTGGCCTTGCCATCGCGCCCCTCACCTATCCTCACTATGAGGGCACTGTGGCTCTCTACTTCCGACTTGGCAAGGACACGAAGCGCACCGCCATGCTGACCTGTGCACACGTCGCCTGTCCCCCTCCTGCCTTCCCCAACAACACAGGCGTGACGCAACCAAGGACAAGCAAGGAGATCGTTGCACTCGGCAACAAGGCCTATGGTGACTCCGTCAAGGCCATGATGGGTACCATCGGTGACCTCTTAACCTACATCGAGGCCTGGAATGACGTAATTGAGTCGCTGGGGGAGCCTGAAGAGCGGGAGAACAGTAAGGTTACTGCGAGGCGTCAGGAGCACATTGAGTTGGTGGAGAAGGCGACAAAGACAATTGAGCAGGTGAACAAGCTCCATGACGAGGTCACCAAACGGCGCACCATCCCTGACCAGCGCACCATTGGTTACGTGCTTCACTCTGAGAAGATTGAGGTCTTGGTCGAGCCCCACAAGTTCACCAAGGACTGGGCCCTGATCGAGCTGTACGATGAGAAGATCGACTGGCCCGCCTTCAAGGGAAACAAAATTTATATTGGTGCGTCTTTTTCTCGCGTCGTTTTTCCTTCAGTTTATCTGAACCTGATGTTTCTTTCCTTCACAGGCGGTAACCTCTCGATCTCAGACTTCCGCAACACGATGTATCCTAACGCCGCTGATCGAAAGGACTACCGGTACCCCCAGGATGGTTTGCTTCAGGCTTATGGTGTAGTCCAGGACGCCGAGATCCGAAACCCCCAGAACCTTGAGGCTAACGGCGACAAGTGTCTCTTCGTCGTCAAGAATGGTATGGCCACCGGGACCACCGTCGGTCGCGCTAACGGACTCGAATCCTTCACCCGCTACTATCCCGAGTACGGCATCAAGCACACCTCCGTCGAGATGGCCGTCATGCCCTACGATAAGAAGCACGGCAAGTTTTCCGACGCCGGCGATTCCGGCTCTATCGTCCTCGCCAGGGACGGCCGTATTGTCGGCATCCTCACCGGCAGCAGAGGCCCTGCTGACGAGACGGATGTCACGTACCTTACTCCATACTGGTGGATCGAGGAACAGATCAAGAGCAAATACCCTGGCTGCTACCTCTACGAGGTCGTCCAGTAAGCGTGTCGCGAGCTTGGCAAGCTCGTCGCATAGCAGACTTTTTCTTGACAGGCCTTTTCCTTGCTCACTTCTCCCACCACTCTATCACTTCTCAGCTTTTCTCGTCTTGTATCCCCTCATCACACTCGCCCCCTCCTTCCTATCCCTCCTTTTGTTTGTTGTGCTCATCTTATTTATTCACTCGTTGTCGATGCCAACGTTGTAGATCATTGTTCAGGTTTGTCTTTTTCTTCTCCTTTTTCTCTTTACCTTTAACTAACACTGTCTGTCCTTGATATATAGGTGGGTACTTCTCAAGCCTTGTTGACTTTGTTGTCTAGGTTCTAGACTACCATGTTCGACCTTGGTCTGACCTTGTACAGTATTGTGTAGCTTAGCATCTTGGACATTTGTAATGTAGCTTATTGTTGTCTCCACTCTGTGTACTATTACTATTGTCTCTTGCCTCCCCTCCTCTTCCATCCACACCCTGCACTCTGCCCCTGCTGCTCCCCATTTATTTAACTCTCCAAGATGTTGTTTACATCTTGTGTGTAATTTTACTTTGAAATAAACAATGTTCATGTGTGTTATGCTTATAATTTGGCTGTGTGTGTATAATGAAGTTTGAGACTAAAAGGCCAGATTTGACTTAAGCAATTCACCAACTGATGTGTTGATCAACTGATATATGTACAAAGTTTCAGAATACATGGGTCAATGGAAACACTACAAGAAATTTTGCAAAGCAGACTACAAGTTAATTCTGTCAGATTCACAAACTGTCGGATTTTTCTTAATTTTATTTCTCGGCTAATCTCTCTCAAACTTCTTACATGTATTCAAATAATACATGAGTACCTACAGTTAAAGTTTTAGAGGGAAATATTGAGAATTGAGTGTGTAATTATGTTCCGTTTAAAGGAACAGTTTTTGACTGTACCCATTGTAGTGAGGTTTCCTCATTTACTAGGCACTTTATGGGCCTGCTACTGTGGCAGTGTACTTCAGAAATGGTTGGCTGATTCACTGCATGGCTCTGCAAGGCAAACAAGAGGCACTGTCGAATGTGCGTCGCCTTCTCTATAGTTATATTAACATAAACGGAGTTCATCTGAATCACTATTCAGCCCCACATTCTGTTATTTATAAAGTGCGCAAACCTTTTGCCGCCGCGCCTTCCTGTTCACTTGGCGGCCCTGTGCACCTCACAATCCGGAGCCGACGTTTCCGCTGCAACCGATACCGAGGCCAGTAATGGTCATGTGAGCACAGGCTTAAGGCAATTTCGTGCTATGGGCATGGCGCATCTGACTCTTCTACTGGCGCACCTGGAACTTCTTTGACCTTCTCTGATATTTATAATCGTCTCTACCACTTCATGAAGCTGGTCCTTTAGCTCTTCGGGCTTTCGTATTTTTAGTCCATGTTGATCGTACTTCTATCCCCCATCGTTCGTTGTGTCATGCATAGCTTGCTTTGACCATGAGGACTGAGTGCTACCGAGTTTCGTGACGACAGTGGTCCGATTGTCCGAAGAAACCCCAGGAAATAATATATAAAGCCGCTTAGGACAACACAATTTCTATTCGAGACGAGCGAAATGGCCATCTCTGCGATCTTAGCATCCTTGTTTGTGTTGTTCAGTGTTGGCACTGCCAGCGCTAGATCGTGTTCATCACTGCCTAACCCTCTCCCGTTCCCCACAGATCTGCCGATCATTGAAGCTCTACCCAATCCATTCAAGTTTTTTAATAATGAATCAGTCCGTTCTCCCGAGGATTGGGAATGTCGCCGGGCGGAATTGAAGACACTTGTCCAAGAGTATATGTACGGGTATTATCCCAACCATTCCCTGGAGCACGTCACGGCTACAAGAAATGGTAGCCAAATCACGATCAACATTTCCGTCGGCGAAAATTCGACCTCGTTCGGAGCGACACTGTCGATGCCGACGAGCGTTAATGCCACGCCAAAAGCTCCTGTGCCAGTCGTGATCAGTACGGATCCTGTGAATAACACGGTCTTCTTAGGCTCAGGCATTGCTTTGGCGACGTTCAGCGTCAATGATGTTGCTGCCGACAACATTGTCCCAGGAGGAGCATTCTGGGACTTGTATTCCGGTCGAGACATTGGTAAATTTATACGACGCAAGATATTCTTCTGGCTTGTAACTAATTTTTTCAAAGGTGTTATCACCGCGTGGGGTTGGGGCTTCCATCGCGTTTTGGATGCGATTGAACAAGTAGCACCTGAGCTGGACGCAAAACGCGTCGGCGCCATTGGTTGTAGCCGTGATGGCAAGGCTGCTCTTGCTGCTGGTATATTCGATGAACGCGTGAGTTCCAGTTCCGTTAATATAGCCAACTCTTTTCTTAGTTAGTCTATTGTAGATTACCCTTACTATGCCTATGTCCAGTGGAGCAGAGGGCATTGCACCCTGGCGATTCCAGTTCCAAGAACGTCAGCATTATTTTTGATGTTCCATTATTACCTGAGCACTTATTTGCTTCTAGTCGGCGAGAACGAGAAGATCACGAATATCACTGGTGCATTCCCCTATTGGATGAACAAGAATTTGATCAACTTTGTCAACAACACACACCAAATTCCGTTCGATGCTCACTTGAACGCGGCCTTGGTTGCTCCCGTGAGTAAAACTCTCCGAGCCCGCGTGGACACTTGGTTCAAGGTCTGACTTAACTCTCATAGCGTGCAATCATCTGGGATGAAGGTTGGTGCCGTCTTGTCACAGACAAACATCTTCATTTGTAATTGCTTATATATTTTCTGTATCAGGAGAAACTGATTACTGGGTAATTATGTTATTCTTCTGTAGCTTAGAATAATTCTGACTCTTTCCTAGACCAACCCGGAAGGCGAGGCCAGAGTGACATTCATAGGTGCCAAGCCGGTCTTTGAATTCCTCGGTGTAGGCGATAAAGTCGGGGTTGCAATTCGCGACAGTTTTCACTGTGATATCTTCGGATAGTAAGCATCTTTTATAACCAAATTATTTGCAGATCTGCTGAGGCGATTCTGCCGTAGTACAAACATCCAGGCATTCATGCTGAACCAGTTCTTTGGAACTCCCACGGATCGGAATTACTCCGATATTTCCCCTTACACTCTCTTCCCTTCCGCCTACCCATGGCTCAACGACGTCCCCGGAAATAACCACTGAAATTGATGTATGGAAAACAGCTAATGTGAGTTCCACTGTGTGCTGAAAATCACGTCTTTGTCGTTCGTATTTTGCTGGTAACAGATTGTGCGATTTGTATAATGTATCCACTCTCTACAGTGCGTTTTATTTGAATCCTACTTTTGCCCGCGTTGGGAGGCCCAATATCGGGGTATTGTTACTCGTGTATTTACTTTGTGTTGTGCGGATGTCTGTCAATGCCGACTTCTTTCGAGCATATTTGAAAAGAGTCGTTTTCGACTCTTGCAATGGCATTATCCAAAGTGCTGCAGCACTGCTTTATTGCAAAGAACCCATCATTTCCTCTAGCCTAACTCTGCAAGTCAGGGAACTATTAGTATAGGTTCTATAGAATAGCGACGCCCGGCAAACAAATACTTGAGCGAACACGACAGACAAGCTAAACATTCAACCGATCAGTCGAGAGAACATGACACGTATTTTCTGCGCGGCAAGGAATGTCGAAAAACCGAATGGAGAGAGTTTCACAGCGAATTAGTTTGATTTATTCTTAGGCATGGAGAGGTAAACCGACAGAAAAATTGAAAAAAGGCCAAGCGGAAAAATAGATGAACCTCCAGTATTTTTCTCACGGTCACGATGGTTTCATCCCATCGTCAGCCAACGAAATATTCAAGCTCAAGCTTAGAGTCTACCATGTAGCTGCATCATATTTCCGTTGGCCTCTGTAACACATCTTCACTCCATATACCCTCAATAATACTACTGCCGATTCGAAATTGCATTTGGTCTAGTGGAGATGAGACAAGGCTATGAATTACTGTCTATTCACTGGTATACAGTTTACCAGCCATGCACAACTCGTGACTTTCTGCCGTCTTGTAAACCACGAGGATGAGCGGACCGTCCTACACCACATAAGAGAGGCCGACATAGGACCTGCGGAAGTCTGTACGCGTATCGCACCTTGCTCTTGTATTGGTATCGACGGCTTGAGTATGTCAACAACGACGACTGCCACTCGTGCTTCAAACGCTACGATTGGAACTATCAATGGGTCTGCTTCTTTTGAGCCTATCAAGATAGGTTCCTTAATTTGCAAACCACTCCATCCTACTTTCTGTGCTGAGTAAGCGCTCTCCGCGTTGCATTTAACAAAATATTTGTCTCATTACTTGTAGGATTGAAGGTATTGACTTTTCGAAGCCCGTTCCTGCTGAACAGATTAAGGACGTCATCGAAGCTCAGAACAGGTGAGTTTATTACTGGCAATAGAATGACCTTACACATAATCAATATTATCATAGATTTGGAGTAACAGTCTACCGCAATACTGGTCTTACAGATGAGGCACATATTGCATTCAGCAGGCAACTCGGTGAACTAGAGAAGGTTCCCAAATTTCGTGGTCCGAACGTACCAGACAGATTTGGCTACCCTGAATTGTTTGATGCGGGCAACACCAATGCTGATGGTACGATAGTGCAGAAAAATAGTCGCCGATGGTGGTATAACAAGGGTTCGTGTTATTCCGACAAAAATTGTGGTGTCAACAGGATTCAACACTGTTCCAACAGGAAACGCACTGTGGCATACCGACTCATCATTTAACCAGCATCGTAGCAAATATTCGATTCTTCTTGCTCATCGTATCCCCAGTGAAGGCGGCGATACTGGTTTTGCTGATGTACGACGTGCATATCGAGACTTGCCCGAGGATCGAAAGACGAAGCTACGCGGACTAGTGATCAAGCATGAGTAAGGGATTTTAACTTATGGGTATCCCAAACCAGCGCGCTGATGATGAATGCGCTATTATCATCCAGTCTCTGGCACTCTCGCCAGGTTTCCGCACCTGAGGAGTATAAGACTATCACGGAGGACGAGAGGCGTGCAAAGCAGCCAGCTTACCATAAGCTTGTGCAGATCGCACCGGACGGTGAAGAGGTATAACTTCTAACGAGACGATTTTGCTCCTACTCACCCAGTTATTTCAGACTCTTTATATTGCCGCTCATGCTGCAGAGGTTGTTGGCATGTCGAAGGAAGAAAGCCAGAAACTAATCTGGAAGCTCATCGATCATTGTACGCAACCTCAATATACGTTAGCAGTGAAATGGCGCCAACCAGGTGATCTTGTGAGTCCCTCTCCCTAATATGTACTTCTGTCGTGTATGAAAACTGATTCGTCCCCGTAAACAGGTTTTCTGGGGTAAGATATCCCCGAGTCACCTCATTCCGCAGATATTAACCATATTTTTATAGATAATCGCTGCACGATGCATCGTGCAACTCCATTCAGTGACCAGATGGAAATTCGCGACATGCGTCGCACGACGGTGTATGATGACGGTCCGGAAAAGGACGGTGTTCCGCAGGCCGCTGCTATACAGGCTTGACGCCGTAATAATTCTCCAACTTCCTTGATGTTTTAAGTATATATGTGGTCATGTGCGGTTAAGTGGCTTTGAGTAAACACGGTACGGAACCAGATGTCTGTATGTCAGGAAATCATATGTCAAATGGAAACGGATCACAGTGTTCAAATAATCATTATAGCCAAAAAAAAAAGGATTGTTGGTTTCAATTTAAATTAAATTAAATGATGCGCCGCCACGATTAAATGACATTTAAGCATTCTCACGACTCTTAATCAAAATGTAAAGTTTCTGGGGCCGGGAATAGGGATGGTTCCTCGGTGAGTGTCTTTATACTGTTTTCTGAAGAGACTCGACAATACTGATTGTATTCACTACAGCTATAGTGAAATTTTTTTGCCTGATGTTATCAAACCGAGCCTGCATGAGTTGTTCATGAATCGTTATGGTGCCCTGGTTTCTTGTCCAGTGTCCACCCATGAGCACTGAAAGGAGAGGTTCTCCAACAGCTCAGGACATCACTACACTAATAGCAAGATTCATCTTCAAATGTCAACGTATCGGCAAGAGTCAAAGCATTTGTACTGAAGTGTCGAAGTGTCAAGAGTGCGATAACGTTTACTCAACAGATTCTAATGCCACTATTGAATTTTCCATTCTATAGACACTATCACGTGAATGATTGCCAGGACTTCTATTGTCAGAGGACAATCTAATCTTTTGTGGTGATGGACTTGTGCTTGATTGGATCTGTAGAATATTATTGAGTGCTGCATCCAATGCAGTCGCGAATGAATGTATATTTATATCGAGAAAGAAAACTGTTAACTAACCTGAGCTAGTCCATCTCCTGTGAACAAAGGAAATTGTAGACCCATCCAAAGCGACCGTGTCTCACACCCTGAGAGTTCTATAATAGCACTAACTGAAAAGGTAGTGTCCCATATCCTAAACACAAAGTATTGAAGTGCAGTAAAATATGTTATAATGCATTACGCTTTTCTGTCGCAAATTCGAGTTTGCCTGCTTAACTTGTATGCAGCAATGCATAAAACACATAATGCATTGGATCCAATCTTCTCCCAATGTCATGTGTTATAACATATATTACTGTATGTGCATTATGCAAAGCGTTTCTCAGTGCGTACACAGTCAAGAGTCGGCGAAAGGTCTCCGAATTTATCACGGTGGCTTCGTAAATATCAACGGCCAGTTGAAATCACACTATCGATACACGAAGAAACTTCCCAGGAGGTATCTTTTTTCCCGGAATTTAACAAGAAAGCGTGATCAACGGTGATAAAACATGTATGCGGTCTCACGCGGAATAGACTTACGCCGATGTGATTTCCGCAGGCGTCCGATGGAAGTTCCAGATAGACAGATGCCAGCTCATCGCAAATCTTCGCAAGGTCGGGAACGCGCAGTCAAGCAGATAAGAATATCATCCGAGACATAGACAAACAAATTGGATGCACAGTTCGGGATTTGTTTAACCGGGTGAGAGAGATACATGGGACACAGGATAATTCCAAAAGCAGTGTTCGTAGCCGCCTTAACAGTCGCACAGCGATCCGTACACCGTCAAAATACGCACACACGAACGACAACTTCCTTCGGAGATCTCGATCTTCGTGGCGCAACTGTGCCTAGGTTCCTATACAGACTTGAATTGGAGCAAATCAACAGAGCACCGGCAGTGGAGTAGATAAAGATACGGAGGAAGCAAAGCCTTGGGAGCGGGACGCCATTGGAATGAATACGATGAAATGTATTGTCGGAGCCGGATTGCACCCGTTTGATAGTCGGCCCACTTTTGAGTTGTTCCTTTTCTCATGAAGAGTGCCCGAAGTTCCAGAAGTTGTTGAAGTTGATGACGATGTTGACTTGATTCGCAGTTTCTGCATTCAGTGAAAAGGTTCTAAGATGAACTGGCACACGGAACGAGCCATAATGTCTTGCAGAAGTGACTGGGGCGGTAATAGAAAGGCGGCGATGTATGTTTGCAGCACCTGAGGAACCTGAGGTCAGGTCCTCAGGTCTGGGTCTAAGATTGCGGCGCAAAGCGCGAAGGTTTGAGACACTTCATCATATACGAATTGAAATTAGAAATAGCACTGATGGTAGAATATGATACGATCGAACTCGGCCGTTCAGCAGAAGTCCCACCGATCGCGCTGCGTGCAACTCATTCCAATCGAAGTAGCACCACGATATTGATAGTCACGGTCTATGCCGCCTAGACACGGCCAGTTATCGCCTTGTAAGAATGGAAAATCATTGTAAGCAGCTGTGCAGAGATAGGAGCGCTGAGTGTACACTAGCTGTAAGTGACAGATAGCAACTAAATTGAGTGGGCAAGTATGAAATCACTGAAATGGTCTATACGGGATGAGCAGAGCTGCAGGGAATTCAGATTGACAGCCTAGGTGATCAAGGTTTGAGTGGCTAGGACAGATGCATCGGAAATGCGGGAAACCCATCCGAAGTCCGTTGAGGGAAGTCGGAAGAGAGAAAACGCCTGATTCAGAAGTCACTTTCCGCAGTGCCAGATCTCGCCCTTGGCCTCTCGGGATGCAAGGCAAGAATTAAATGCCTCACGTGGGAAGAAGGGCAGGGAGTCAATCGAGTTTACTGCACAACATAAGAGTGTCAAATTGAAGACTGTCAATTTCAGCATCCACAGCGACAGAGAATGACAGAGAGAGGTGATAAACCAGGAATTTATCGCAGTGACGATGATGATGAATTATTGGGGGGAGAGGGGGGGAGAATGAAGATGGCCAGGCGGATCGGAAGGGTGCAGCAGGTGCCGTGACGCGGCTTACGCAATTATACTGGATGTTGTAACTTGTACAGCCTTCGGCCTCATCTCCTCCTCCTTGTCTTTCACTGCTCTCTCATCTCTCCTCCTCTCCGCCGCGTTCCTCTTTGGCCTTGCTTTTATTCCTTCTGGCTAGCTCTTGCTTCTAGTCCTAACCCGCGTTTGCGAGAAACGCACCTCACGCATCTGACTCTAACGCGCCTCACCACTCTCGCGACCGCGGCTCGCGTCCTCCGTGCTCCGCAGCACCTCCATCGGTCTGACGGCATACAATAACGATCTCCCTTTCACGACCATAGCAAATTAACGTATCTGGTCAATCGATTTCTAACAATGTCCTCTCAAAATCCTGTATGTTTCTTCATCACATCATCTGAACAATGCGCGTTTCAGGCCATGGTGAAGCCATGCCCGAGCTCCACTCAAAGGACTTCCTCAGACGCGTTTATCTGTCGTTACCAGGTGCTGACTGTTTTCTTGTTACTCTTCAGATTCGGAGAAAGCTTGTCATCGTTGGGGATGGTACGTGGCATCCTAGAGCGTCACAACTCAACAACACTAACTGCGCGTCTGCTGTCTATCTCGCTCTCGCTCTATTACCGACCTAATTGCTTCCACATCAAACCGTCTTTACTTTACGGCACAAAAATACGCTAATGCGCAATAACGCCCCCTCTGCAACCCCAATCGTATTCGCGCACCGCAACGTGCAACTGTGCCTGAAAAAACATATTGCAATGACGTATTTTGTTTTGTCGGGTTTTTAATTGCTACACCAGGCGCTTGTGGAAAGACATCACTCCTGTGCTGCTTCGCTCTCGGAGAATTCCCAAAAGAATATGTAGGCCTGATTATTTTGTACCCGTTCGTCATCCACCTGATCGCTCACCGCGGTTTTTCCTTTTCTGCACCCACATGTATACCACTTCTGATTCGGTCCGTCCCTCGCGGGAATATTTCCACCCTCTCGTCTGGTGAATCCACATTGTGAACAACACACACTTCTGTATACGTCACTGTCGCAATCCGGGTTCTCTATGATAGCAACCAAGTACGTTACCTGACATGCCTTCTTCTGTACTTTCATCTTCCTTACACATTTCTTATTTTATCCACTGCTTTCTATCGCACGTGTTCATTCATGCTATTCTTTTCTCACTCCTTTCTTGAGTTTATGCGGATGCGCTTATTTGTGCTCCTTCTTGAACCCTACTCACACGTATCTATTTTTAGCTATTTTTGAAAATTACGTCGCAGAGATCCGATTAGATGGAAAGCCTGTACAACTTGCCTTATGGGACACAGCGTAAGTAGTGGGCAGACGTTGACATCGAATCCTCGGCGATTTTTGTTGTTCTCGTTTCTTTTTATTTATAATTTTTATTTAAATCTTTGCTGACGAAGTTCTTTTTAACAGAGGGCAAGAAGAATATGAGGTGCGTCATTCATGATGTTCGTGGCTGAAAAGAAGTGCTGATGCGCGATACTGAAAATAGCGACTGCGACCGCTCTCGTATTCAAAATCCCATGTGATCCTGATAGCATTCGGCATTGACACGCCAGATTCCTTAGAAAACGTCGCTGTCAAGGTACGTTTCGTCCTGTCTTTCAGACTTCCCTTTTTGGCGAGTTTTATCAACCTTCCTCTATTTTAGTGGATCGAAGAAGTCCGCTCCATCTGCGGGTCTGCGATTCCCGTGATCTTGGTTGGCTGCAAATCCGACTTGCGTCCGCCTCCCGACTCTCCGCTGTCGCATAATTACGTGCAACCGAGCGCGGGGCAGGAGATGGCGCGTGAGATCGGTGCGCGCGCTTATAAGGAGTGTAGTGCGCTGCGTGGTGACGGTGTTGACGACGTGTTCGAGGCGGCGACGCGCGCCAGCATGCTTATGCGCGAGGGTGTTCCGGGACATGGTGCCTCGCGGAATCGGCGTGGCACTGTGAGTAGTGGTTATGACGACGATGCAGCGAAGGGGTGCTGTGTCGTGTGCTAGGTTTATTACTTCTGGGTTTTCTTAGTAGGATGGGTAGCTGAGAGTGGTCTGTGCTCATCTTTTGGGTTCTGTTAGCCTTTACTAAAAATCGGACTATAGGCGTCATAGTTCCTTCCCATTTATTTGCTATGACCCGTCATTCAGTTGCTTGATGCCATTTTCTTATGTAATAAACATTCTGCCATATTTACACCTGTCATTTTTGCTCCATGCTTTTACGTCTCTACTTACTTATACCGACCCATCACCCTCCCGTTTCCGTGCCCCGCCTCTCTTCCAACTACCACAATATTGTTCCCTTGCCATAGCCGTAGCCATAGCCATACTCATACTCATAGCATTTTCCACCTTGCATCTAACTAGCTATGCCCCGATGTAACCAGCAGCACGTCCTCATTGTCCCTCTCTCATTATTAAATATCGTTTGATCATATCACACCACATCATCATATGATCTTATCACCGCGCTGTGCCTCTGAGGGTTTGTGCAAACGCATACATTTTCCCTCTTTTTTGAATTTCGTTTGATCACAGTGTATGACGTGTCCTTGCCTGATAAATGATCTGGTTATTTATGCGCCCTTTGTCATTGGTATGAGGACGTACGAGATGGTCCAGCTTCTTGTTGTGTACTGCAACGTTCATGTGTACGGGGTGTCTCAACCGCAGCGCAGCACATATTCACAAGATGGCATCAGTTACGGCTAGCCGCCCACGAACTTTTTTATATAAGACACTCTGAGTTGCTGTTGAGTATGGCAATCCACATCTATAAGGGGTGTGTAGACCGCAGAACATAATTGTTAGGTGGTATCAGTTACATCTACCCGCCTATGACTTCGAACATCCTTCATTGATTTTTAAATGATGCCTAGCACTTGTTAACGTGTACATCTTGCCACTTCAAGTCAATGTCATGTTGATGACTACGTCTCAGTGTCTGATAAGTTGAGACGGCAGTTCCGTGTGGCTGAAAGATGGAGCACTCAGCACGTGTTCCTCTTTCGTATCCATATTCATATGATCTGCCTTGTATTTAACCTTACTCCTAGTAATTGTATTCACTGGCATGTTTTCTTTTTTTTTTTCTCTTTTTTCCTTCTTCTCATTTCAAAATTCTGTTTAATCACACTAAATGACATGTCTCATGTTTTAGTCCAGTAATGATTTGCTTGTCCTTACACCCTTTTGTGTATAAAGATATATGAGATGCTCATTGCTCTGGGCCGTGTTGTGTATAGCAATCCGCATATATAACAATGTATGGACTGTGGAAGATATTCACAAGATGGTATCAGTTACGTCTTCCCGCCCATGAACATCCTGTATTGATTTTGAAATGAAGCCCAACACTTGTTAACGTGTATGTCTTGGCAATTGAAGCCAATGTCTTTAAGAGTTGATGGCTTGACTATGTCTCATGAGTTGAGACGGCACTCCCGTGTGACCGACTCGGGAAGATGGTGCGCTCATGGTCATGTAGGCCGATTATATGCGTGTGGGGGTGTAGTGATGGGCCACGAATGGTTGCATTACTAATGATCATGTAAGATAACTATGCGTGAGTGAGGCTACTGATAGCTAATACTGTCTGTGTTGCTTAAAATTGAATGAAGAGGAGGAGGAGAACCAAAGTTAAAGTGGAACCTGTGAGTTGTGCACGAGACACACGCGTTACTAGACCACTCAACCTCAGTAAACAAGAAACTGAGAGAAGCAAAGTACAACAGGCACTTATTCTTTACCCGCCTTAGTTACACAGCAAACATCTTTGATTTGTGTATGTTTTCTCTGCAAGAACAGATGGACCATTTGATCCATCTTTCCTTTATCATCATTCCATATTTATTGTTTCAGTCAGTACTGCTTCTCGCCATACTACATTTTTCTGTTTGATGAGTTTAATACGAAACATCTGTCGTTTCCCATGTACTCATCAGAGAGCATCTACAATAATTTTGTCTTGCTTAAAACCTATATAAGACTGCCTCTTTGGTCATTTTGCAGAAGTACAGGTCTACAATCTGACCCCTTATCTGCTTGCGCCAGCTGCCCACAATATGACTCTATCAACTCGCTCTGACATAGTAACTATTGACCCTAGCGTGGTTTCGGACTTGGTTTCTGTAAGATTTACGTCTCAGTGCTTCCAGGTGGCAATAGCGACTCTTCTAGTATATGACACCTGTAAGTAAAACAAGGTTGACCCTTGAAGTGAATTTACTCATTATCAATTATTCAAGTTATAACAATGGATAATGAAGTAAATTCTGATTTCCCTCATTCTAGGACTATCACTAACCGCTTGCATCAGGTCAAGTACTTCTGGGTGTGTATTATTTACTGACACACGATTAGATTTTAACTGTAGCTTCAATATACTCTACAGAGAACTCCTGTCAAATTCGTCAACATTATCTACTTCTTGGTGAGTAGTTTATTCATCTCTGACCAGCATAACTCTCACCAGGCCACTTTAAGAACCGATACATTGGCATTATAGGCGCCATCTCCTTTATTGTTTGTAAGTTGTATTTATCAGACTGCTTGTATAATTGCATACTTACAGCCATTTTAAGGGAATAAAAACGGAGTGAGCGTTGAACTGTATGCTCCCTTTTTACCAAACATGTGTATAAAACTGAAAGAATGTTTAGGTGTAAGAGTTAAATTCTTCCGTGTGTTACTATCTGTGTTAACCACCCGTAGGCAACTTTGCTTCCTGGACTTCGAACCTTTCCTGTGAGTCAATATGTGTTTACTGCTTACTACCATTTGCTGACAATTGTGAAAGTCTGGTCCACAATCATTCTAATCGATTGTTAGTGGAAACTAAAAGACATTCGAACTCAAGTAATTGATTATTTCTGAAGATATCCTGATGATCCGTACCCTTGCACTCTACTCTGAAGGTAAGCAACAAAAGTAATTTATAATATTTTACTCACATTGTTTAAAGAAAAGAAGTTATCAATAATCTTGAAGACACTTCTTACTTTAGAGGCATGCTTGAAGATAGCACTAATGATATACCTTGGCTTGATGCAGAGTAGTAAGTCGCTTTTCTGTGTGAATTGCAGAAGCTTACTCAAGAGTTAAGTTGCTGTCGGAGCTCTTCCAAATGGTATCACTGTGTGCGGAAAACTTGGCATTCTGCCGTGGCAACTGGGAATGGTTGATTGGTACATTGTTCAAACTTAAGAGACATATTACTTATATTTCGATAGGATTCCTCCAATGGTGTATGGCCTCATACTTATGGCCCTTTCACTTCACAAGGCTGCAGAGTTCTGGAGGATGTCAGCTGGTTTCAAAGGTTTTACACTTATTGAAGTGCTTGTTCGGGACCAGCTCATCTACTTTTCATTGTGTGTTGAACGTCTCACTTTATTTTATAAAACTAATGTAGTTTTTTTAGCGTTCTTGCATGCTGTGTATTGAACATTTTGGCCTTCAAAATACAAATTTCAAATCTGTTCTTAGAGATTCTTCGCGATTCTCTGGGGAGTCCGTCATTTCTTTGTGTTCTCGGCAGCCGGTTGTTATTCAACCTAAAGGAAGCAGCAGAGTTAGGGCTCAACGAGGGGACAAGTTACAGAGTCAAGTCAATGAGCAAAATGGCATTCATTATTAGCAAGCCTGTCGAAAGTAAGTCACTATTATATTTATATATTTGTAGGATTTACGAACGAGTCATTCAAGGGGCATGAGATAGAGACAGTAGATAGTAGATTAGTCTTTGATGCTAGGTTTGTAGCAGACTGTTGCTATAGAATTAAGTAGTCTTTCAACGTGTTGGAAATTTCAGAGGAAAGCTTTGTACTTAGTAGTTCTATACTTGTTATCAGAATACTATCTTATAAAAATACACAATGTCGCGACTGAATAGTTATATTTCAATGACGAATTTGTTTGTATTCCAAAATAACAGATTTATTAAGTTCAAGGGTGTGTCTAATATTATACACTAGTTAACTTTCTTTCTTTCTTCAAGTGAGAAATTGACTTTTATATTATCCTTATCAATAGCTTCTCTGATAGGTTTAATTGATATTCCTAATTCTTTCTCCAGCTTCTCCAAGTTTTGTTTTAGATAATTCTTATTTACTGAGTATGCTCTTGTCATGGTTTGGCCACTGCCAGGAAGGTCAAAAAGTTCAGACTTTGCATTAACGTTCTCCCTCTTACACCAATCTATTATGTAGTTTTGAAAGGCATGATTAAGGCCCATTTGAGGTCTTCTTGTGGCGACATAGAAGTAAGCACTAGCCATTGATAAATTTTTGCAGTGATGCAGATAGATTATAGTCACTGCTGGAGATCGAGACCGACCGAGATAACAATGGATCAGGATCCTATTGTTTAATTTGGTCCCTTCATTAATGAATTCAAATGCTTCTTCAAGGTAATCCTCGATCTTTGTATCAATTTTATCCAAAAGGCCAATACTCTTCACAGTGATCTCGGGAGACAAGTCATCTTCAGTGTCCTCCCCAAGCGACAAGACATGTGGTACTGAAGGAGGAAAGGCTTGCAAGTGGCTGTGTGCGAGCCTACAAAGATTCTGAATCCAATGTAGTCAATATCAAAATGGTTCCGTTTCCCTGGGTGCACAGAACATAAGGAACGAGGCGTATCATCGCGACAATACTCTTTTCGTTCTGATGTGCTCTTGTGGTTAGAGCTGCAGGCCATATTGTTATTCCCTGCTGCTTGGTAATAATCAACGAAACTAATAAGCAGATGATGAGGCTTGGCAAAAAGCAAAATAACACAAAGAATGTGTTCATGGCCTTATTCTCTCTCCTTTTCAGTATCTTTGCATTCTGTGTTTATAGTCCCGACATCAGAAATGATTAATTAATGTGGCAAAGCACTGTGAATGTGGTGTTTTGTTTTATGTGCCTATGATTGCTAGTTACTATGTTTGTGCACAATAAGTATAGAGAGAAAGGTAGGAGATAATTGGTCGGAAGAAAAATAACTTGATTTCATCAGTTGAGAGGGTGGGCAGGGCGAGCGTAACATTGAATAACTTACTTTGCAACAACAAGTGACAGGCTGTATACATGAAATGAAAGTATACTGTGGCAAAATTAATATTCTCTCAAAGTGGATATACCATCCTTTTTCATGAATGTACCATGAGATTGTTAGTCTAGTCAGATTCTCCAGACAGTTTCCTCGCTTAGTCTCAGGAATATTGATACAATTGAGTAAATAACAAAAGTTTAAGTTTACAAGTATTGTAATAAGTGGGTTATAGATCCAAAACATTAAGCAGTCTCATACTAATTGCGAGGCAGTTAGACACAGAGTAAGTGGCAACTATACTGCCATATCAGTACGTTTAGAATGATAATTCCTATAGGCTTAAGCGATTATCTTGCCGCACTTGTCGGAAACTCGGAGGTCGGAAACACGGAAGTGCAACACTCTGAGTACGGCTCGCCGTACATGCATTTCAAAAACAAAAAGGTGAGAAAGACAGAAAAGAAGATCCTTCCTGCTTCCCTGCGTGTTTTGCATGTGGCGTGTTGTCAACGTTACTGGCCGTGCAGCATTCCTAGTATTAAGCGAAGAGAAGGGATGTAGAGCGTGAATTTTTATTTATATTTGTTTGGCCAGCATGGCATGTATGTGATTGATTGTGTACTTTGCGGGATGTCTTCTAATTTCATCATCACCCCCTTTTCCACATCATCATTAAGCAGTGCTGCACATATGGACAGCTGCTTGAATGCACAGACAAGAATACTACCTATACATCTCAGAATTCGACAGTTGTGGTGTAAGAGAAGTAGTTAATCTGAATGAGGCGCTTTGAAGAAGCAAATTCGATGGATAAACATTATACAAATCAGAATCTGATATTATTTGTATTAACCATAATGTAAACGAAGTATCGAACCTGAACAAGGCGCTTTGAAAGAACACAGATTAACAGATAAACGCCACACACAAATATAACTTATGAATACATTATATAGCAACGTGCGGGATGAATGATCGAACCGAGGTCAAGGCGCAAACCGGCGTTCTTTGAGGAGCGCTGCCGGTTTGCACGCAAGATTTCTACGCTTATGGAGTGTTCAATAAAGTGGGCAGCTAAACTGTAAACTGTCGAAGCAATACGAACAAATTTGTTTGTTTTTGTAGGGAAGACAAAATTTGTCACTATTTGGCCCACGATAGGACTGCAGTTTATGTAATCCGTTAACGTCGAACAGTAAGAGGTATAAGTGTGTTCAGACTGTACTACTGACAAGCAAAATCAATTTGGATAGATAGTAATTTACAATTAGGTACACAAATTCTTATCCCCAAATCAAATTCAAATAAAATAAAAAAGCGATCAAGCAAAGAGAAAAGCGAAGGCAAGTGAGAGTAGGAAGTATTGATTATGGATTATAGCAACCAAAAGTGCTGAAGTCCATCACAAGGGGAATATACAGTTGTAGAGTTGCAAATGTGCAAGCTGTAAATGTTGTAGATGTGATAAATTGGTGTCGAGGTTGGTGTTGGTACCGCTACACTGGCGGAATTGGTGTGATTGAGGCGAGACGAGGGTTATGCATGGGTAGAGGATCAAAGGACGAAAAGAAGGATTTTAGGGAGGAGGGAAAACGAGACGCATTTTTTGATAGCAAGTCGTCGTTTCCTGAGGGATAGCATGGAGAGGACAAAGTCGGGATACCAGAGCCTGACAACAAACCCAGGTTCAAAGACGAGATGGGAGAGGAAGAGGGAGGCGAGGGATGTTAGGAGTGGGTATAATAAATCCGCGAACTTGAAAATTGAAACCAATAAAAGGCTCAAAAAATCGGAATGCAAAGATGAATTTAAGAGAGAAAAAAAGATGTGAATCTGTGTTGACCGAGTAGTGTGGTGGTCGATCGTATGCTCAACAGAAAGAACGAAGTGTGTTGTCGATGAAAGAGAAGAGAAAAGGTAATAAAAAGGTAAGGAGCGACAGTGGTTTTCCCGAATCAGCGGGTAGGTTGAAGATTCAGTCCGAGGTGATATTACATTGTGCAATGTGATGTGAATGGTGGGGAAGTAGGCAGGTAGGGGATAAATCATGGGTAAAAGAAGGTACGAGGGAGCCAAGGAGGAAGAGACGCAGTCTCATAGCTGCACAGCTCTAAGCGTACACCTGCAGACCCTCAACGAGTCTGCTGTGCTTCTCGCTACGAGGAGTTACGACTGCCTTGAACGGCATCGGGTTACTACAAGCCAAACAAGTCAATCAACCATCCTAACCGAAGGAGAGGAAATACGAACCTCGAAGTCCCACAAGCAAACGCAATTTCAGGTAACTCCTCCTTCCCCGTCTCAGAGTTAACGTAAGGCCGGATATCGAAAGCCGCAAGGAAGCATGCGTATGTGAGGAATACGGTTGCCTCGGCAAAGTGTCGGCCGGGACATAACCTGTGAACAAAGGACAGTTTTAATTTAGCATGCCGAGTCTAGAATATAGAAGATGGTGGATGGATGGTAGGGAGAAAAACGTTATAGGGTGGGACTAGAAGCATGGAAGCCACTCGGCCGCCGTCGAAGGACGGGAAAAAAGGAAGACGATGGTAAAAGGCCAAACAACTACGTACCGTCTACCGAACCCAAACACAAGCGTCGAAGGATCATCCTCCTTCAGGTTCGCACTCTTCTCAACTTCGATCTCATCACCCGAATCAGACGCATCGTCCCCCATTCCCTTTTTCTTGCTCATGTACCGTTCCGGGTCGAAACGCTCTGGATCGGGGTAGTACCGCTCATCACGCATCATCTGCCAGATGTTTGGTAGGATCATCGATCCACTGGGGATCGTCCAGCCTCGGTAAATATCTACTTGTGTTGATTCGTGTGGGATACCTGAAAAAAGCGAGGAATAACGAACATGGAAGGATCGCCGGTCAGCAAATGTTCGATGTACAGCACACGTCAAACGTAAAGAAAAAGACAACAACGCAAGGCTAACCAAGCAAGACATGGTCCATCGAAGCTCATGCCGAGTACAAGGCCAACGCGAAATGAAGAAAGAAGATGCTCGACTTCCGAGGGTCTCGAAGACAAGCGAGAGAAGTCAAGATAGAAAAGTAAAGATCGCAGATCCTCACCAATTGGTACAGCTGGGTTGAAACGGAAGATCTCCTTCATGATGGCCTCGATGTACGGCAGACTCGGTCTGTCCTCGTATGTCGGTAACCGGTCCGAGCCAATAACACGGTCAATCTCCTCCTGAGCACGTTTGACGATTTCCGGGTGTAAGGTCATCATCAAGAAGAACGTCGCAATAGTCGCTTCCGTCTACATGATAAATGCCATGTCAGTGAAATCCGGGATTACGGGATTACGGGAATATGTCAAAGTTGATGACTTGTAACTCACAGTCTCAACACCAGCTAAGAATAGAATCAGAAAGAACAAAGCAAAGGCGTGTCATGTCAGTAAGATAGACCAGGATTTGACAGATTCGAACTAGCGTACCGGAGTAAATCACGGCGCCGATACACCGGATGTCTTCCTCGTGCTCCTTGTCAATTATTCCAGTGCTTTCGTACTCATCAAGCAGATGGTTAACGTAGCATGGGGGTGCTTGGCCAGCAGCCTGCAATGCCATGCTAGATCAGCAAGGCACTTCATTGATCGGCATGCCCACTTTGGACAAATACTTACTCTCTTCTCTTTTAGCTCCCGAAGGGGCATTCTCATGACTTCGGCAACAAGTTCTGCCGTCTTGAGAGAGTGGCGCTTGAGACCCATACCGGGAAGCCATTCTGGGAGGTGGCGTACTAGTTTACGTTTGCATATCAGCTAAATGTAGCGCATACACAAAGGTAAGGAGAGGGGATTACTTACAGACCGGAAAGAGGTCGATAATGGTGCCACCAGGGCTACCAGAATCAGTAGTCATTTTTGTCGTCCGCTTGACGAGGCTAATGTATTCGTCTGTCTCAACATCCTTGACCTCATGGCCGAACGTTGTCAAAAGAATTGAGCTCGCAATCAACCTACAAATAGCAGCAATAGAAAATAAATGAGCACATTGATTACCGATGAGACTCAGCTGATAGAAAATAAGCATGTGAACGTACCCGTGCACATGCTTCACGATCAGCTCTGGCTTGACGGTAAGCATGTTACGGAGGAATTGGTTGACCTGGCTCGATTGGATTGGTCTGAAAGCGGCTACGGCTTTCGCGTTGAAGTGCTGCTGCATCATCCGGCGGTGCTTTCGGAAGCGTTCGCCGTACTTGAGGAAAGGAAGTGTCTTGGACCAGCCCATCCTATCAATCCAAACAACATAAGTATATGCAAGTGGAGGGGACAAACATGAAAGGCGTAGCGCATATACTGACATTTCACCCATGATTTCCATGCGTGGTCTGCTAGAGTAGATTGCGCCCTTCTTCTCCATGAGGTCTCGGGCAGCCTGTGCAGAGTTAACGATAATCATTGGGCGACCGAGGACGGCGACATAGATGAGGTCGCCTTCGAGAGAGTAATCAGGGTTTCGCCACGAGCGGAAGCAAACTGTACACACCATAGTCCTTCAACCAAGCTCCGAAAGTCTTGTATGCATACTCGAGTGGCATAACCCGAGCATTGCCAATGATCGGATCCGAAGGCGGACTGGGGGGAAGCTTGCCAACGGCGGGGGCGAGGAGGATCTCCTTGGTGAATACGATGGCAGCAAGGACTGCGAGGGTGAGGGATACAAAGGAGGAGTCGATCATAGCTGGTTGGTATATAGGGATAGAGAGGAAAAGGAAAAGAACGAGACTGGCGGAGAGATGGGTACAGCGGCGAAGAAAGTAAATACTGGCCAGACACAAGAACGTGATGTCGGGGAATTATAAGGAGAGGCCGGGAGGCGGAGGCCCAGTAGAGACGGCGATGGCTGGTATTCCCTTATCGGCCAGAGTCCCGTCCAAACTGGGAAGTTAGTTTGACATGTCTGCTGCTTCTTCGACGCTTTTCCAATCGACCGCCCAATCATTGCCGCGCCCGCTCCGGCTGAATGCTAATGATTCTCTCCGCCATCCCAGCAGGCTTCTCGCCTGCCATGTCCGGGTACTTCTTTTCATCCCTAGCCCACATAAAACACTTCCATGTCCTGCCAGTTTCGGTGATTTGCGTCCCATCGCACCGCTTGTCCGTCTATCTGCAATTCATTCACGATGATGCCATGCTAGTGCCATGCCACGTCTGTCTCTGATCACTCGCACTGCGATGATAACTGCACTGCTGGACCGGCGGAGACAAGAGCATGTCAACCCGTGAACAGAAGGAGATTAACATATGGTTAATCCGAGCCGCTAATTTGGCGACACAGGTTACCTGATGTAGGGCCTTACCACCACGGAAATCAAGCTTGCCTCATTTTGGCCCAGCGCTGCCTGCCTCGTGCCCCTGAAGAAGCCTCCCCTTCAGAATCAGATTCGTTCGTGTAAAGATTCGTCCCCGCTGACAACCCTAACTTCCCTTAGCCTTCCTTAATTCCCCTGTTACGTCTTCCGTCCGAACACGTCGCTGATAGACCGCAAATTTCATGAAGCACGCGCGGAGGAGGCGGAAATTGCACGGCCGTTTCGGGACGGAAAGAAAGAAAGAGAAAGACCAGAAATGCGCGAAGCCACGTTACCAATGCCAAATGGTGGTAAGTTGGATAGCAACGGGATTGACTGTCGATGCCTCTCTAACGTCACGTCGATACGACCAGCAGTCGATGAGAGACGAAAAAGAGTGCAAACGTGTGCGAATCCTGACGATCTCCCTGAAGTTCTCTCACGTGCGCGGTGCGACTCCCTACCTTCCGCTCTCAACAAGGCACTCCACTTTCGTAATCTAGCTCTCTAAAACATCCACTTCTGAACTTTCTTTCCACGACCCCACGCAACAAGGCACACAAACACTAACCGAAAAAACATCGGATACCAAACGTGCGGCGTAATGTTATATAGGACAGGAGGCGGCGCACGGCGCGCACTCTGGGTGCTGAGGGCTGGGGAGAAGCTCAACGCCCGACTCAACATTCACCATCCACCACGGACCATGACTCAAAAGCAAACTCCATCGGAGTCGGTGAACTACAGTAAGTAAAGTATATTAATACACCACATAGATAACAAAGTTATTTTCTTTATGAATCCACGTCTTGAATTCTTGAAACACATGAAGGAAAATTTTGAGTTCACGAAATAGACTTTCTCATTCATCCTTACGGTACGGTGCTTGCCGGACGGATGCTCATCTAAAAACCGCCCGTCTAAAGTCGATCGATCTGGACTTTCGCTTGTTTGTGTTACGCTAGACTAGGTCCTCTGAGTTTCCAGTACCCTAGGCGTGTTCCGCTGCGAGTGCGACGAACGGACCGACGGAACATAAAATGAAATTAATAATTTTCGATGACACAGTCAATGAGCCAAGCGTCGACAGACTCGATATCGCTGGCTCTCGCATCGTCCAGATAACATCTAGCTCAGAAAGCTACACTTTGCAAGTGCCTTGGTCTGCCATCTCTCACTCAGCTCTGTAAACAATTAATGTCGTTTGATCTGGACTTGACTGGTCCACGATAGACCAAGTGTGGTGCCTTGTTCTGCCGCGATGGACGGACCGACGGAATGTGATATTCAATTTCAATGACACAGTCAATGAGCCAAGCGTTGACAGGCTACATAGCCCGCCTCGCATCGCCCAGATAACATCTAGCTCAGACAGCTACTCTTTTAAACATCTTGGTCGGCTGTTTCTTCGCTCATAGTAGTGATGATCATTTACAATAAACACAAGACAGTAGCGCATCGTTCAGTGCATTGGCCAACAACCTCTCATAAACAACATGCCCAGTCTCTTAACTCGGTTCTATAATAAACTGCGGTCATTCGATCTGGACTTGGCACTGACCTGCGCTACACCAGGTGCAAACTTTTCCCAGTATCCTGGTGTCCTGTTCTGCTGTTCTGCTGCAATGGACGGGCTAGAAGGACATAAATAATACTAATTTTTGATGACACAGTCAATGAGCCAAGCACTAATGGTAATACTGCACGTCTCACTCTGCTCAATACCATCTAACTCAGACAGTTGCTCTTGCGAACGTCTCTATTGGCCATCTTTGCTTAGTTCTATGCAGGGTAGTAGTGCCAAGTGGCGAGAAGTTATGTTAGCATGAACAGGTAGCATAACGGTTTGTTGTATTGGCTGACAACCTCTTTACCCAGTTTTGTTCCTTGCTGAGTGGCGTCGTTGATCAGTTTCATATGTTACCATTTCAACCCCCAGAGGGTTAGTATCTCCATGTTTGAGACTAGCTTCTAAGAGTCATCCAATATTTCAGACGTCTTATTGAACCGCCGTGCAAAACTGCAAAGTAACAATACTGGACATTAATATTACTCCGTTTTTCTACAAGGTTGATTTCAGTACACATATGCAGCTTGTGCACAATAATATTCTTGGCTTTGTGGCGGAGAGTTGAAACTTATCCGAATAAAACCATCACAAGTTTGCTCTGTCATTCAATAGACATGTGTCAGAAAAGATTGCAAAATTGAGTATAAATCCTCTGCTTTTGCATGATATCTCAGGATACAACACAGCTTTGCCACAACCCAACAAGAACAGACTATTTAAACAAGCATGGCTGACTCTGAGTGGAAATGTACAGAGGAAAATGGTTACGACATTCTCCCACCCAACAAATGCGAGGAGATCAAAAGTGGTATGTACAATAGTAGAAAATGCTAACTCTCTACTACTTCATCTAACGTTAACGTCTTCTAGCCTTGAAGGACAAGTTTCCTGGCCAGAAATGGGACATTTGGTACAAGGCAACAAACACTCCTGAGGTTAAGGAAAGACATGTCACTTGTAAGTAGGAAGAACTTGTTACACAGTCCCTGCTTGCTCTGACACATGCCTCATTGGTAGTCGCATCCCATCGCCCAGAAACAGTTCGAGACTGTACAACAGTCCTATTTGACACAGAACGTACTACATATACTCTCGACACTTTGCTTAGACGAGCAAAGACTTTCGACGGGAAACGTTGCCCTGATAGCTGCAATAAAGAGGGACACAGGAGAAAATCCAGTACTAGTAGTCATAACCATACGGATGGAGAGAAGCTTCAAGGAAAGTGAGAATGATGTTGTGTGGCGGTGTTCGTCCGTTTGCATAGTTTGCAATTATTTGAATCACATAGAAATGCCGTGTGTGCATTGATTCAATCGTGTATGCTACCTGGTACCTATTAGCCAACAAGTACAATCATGTGCATGTTATATATTAACCGGCTGTGCTTACTTTTAGCAATTTCTTCTGTAGGCCGTTATACGAGTACGTGTCTGATTAAAATTACTAAATAAAGTTCAGTTGAATATAAGTGTGGGATACCTGCAAAGTAGGACGACATCTCTACCATTTGCCATATGAGTAAATGGTGTGCGCATGAATTACACCACAGTATTTCTTCTATCTGCACAAACTCACAGTCTAATGTCATTCTGCCAAGGGCGACCGAATTTTGCAATACACACGGATGTCGGAGTCCGGAGAGATATTCTCTGATGTAAGCCACGATCTATTTATGGTCGCCGCTCGATCCCGCAAGCTTGTACAGCAACTTCCAAAAAAAAAGAGTGGTCTCCGGCTCCTGACTTCCGACGGCTGACTATGAATGTTTCATGATATCGACAAGAGATAACTCAGAGAGAATTTCCAATCGATGGTTAAAGCAAACGGCACGTTGCGGAGTCCAGATAGGTAATACCAAGAGATTATTAGATATAGACGACGTTCGGAACGCCACCGACTTAATCGGGGGTGACTCTACATATGTACATTCATCATATATTCCGAGCCGACCAAATGACAGATATCTACATACATACTCTCCTGAATGGTGTCGATAGGTGTGATACAAGCTGTATGGAACCTAGACTTATCACAGTCCTCGGACTTCTTCTCTTAGACAAAGTTAGAGAGACACTTCACCAAGGTCTGGGCTCCTAAGGCCAATAATATTGCATATAACTTCGAAAGTCCAGGATACAGGACTGAGATCTGGATGACAGATGCTATTAGCAATTGTAAGAGTGATGTTAGCACATTTCTTAATAGTACTACATGGATTTCAATTACTTTCTGCTTGTATTTACTCATTATGATACCCTGCACATCTATGAGACAGCAGGACTAGTCTAAAGTCTAGACTTCAAAGCCCAAGTGACTCGTGCAAATGTACCACTGACCTCTTCCTTTCCTCAGTCTGAAGTAAGGAGAAAAGTAAAACATGAGCATCTGACACATACAAGTGGTTGGAAGAGTTTCTCTACTCTATTCTCATGGATCAACAATAAGTTGCCTATGTACATGATGACCAGTAGTAGACACTGGCGATCTGGAGGCACAGGGTAGATAGTAGTGGAAGAACTCTCCTGCCATGATCTGTATTGTTTGTTGACATAGTTATTAGGATTCAGTATACAGTATATAGTCTATGGAAGTCAAGATTAACATTACTTTTGTTTATCTGCATGTCTGTTGAGCATTGATAACAACTGATTACTGTTACAGTATAAAATTTCCTAGGGGAAAAATCAAGTAATATTAATAACAACCTTTACTACTTTCTGTACTTATATTAATATATTAACATCTAGCTCAAAAGGTTGCAAAACACTGTTCTATACATTAATTGGCAAACTGTTTACTAAGTCTGTTCTATTCAGAGTTGTGGAAAACAGTTGTGTGTATACTCATCCAGAGATAGGGACTGAATGAGTACAATGAACTGTGGTCTATCAAGTACATTGCTACACAAGCTGAAACTAAACTTTGAAAGCAACTGTCCTAAACTATATTAATACATTATACAATATATGCATAATGTATTTAATGAGACTGACCTTTTGCTTGTGCTAGCCAGTATAGTATATTAAATTTGCTATAAGTAAAAGCAGTTAGAAATGCTTCAAAGGCAAAGTAGTAAAGAGAGGGATATAAATTCTCAGAACTCCTTAAATGCAATCTGAAATTGTACCAGAATCAACTCAATACTATAGCAGATAGTAACAAAAGCATGTCTAGCAAGCAGGAGCAAAACGGATGGATGTGTTGTAAAGTCAATGGCTATAAGTGTAGAGGCACAACACTTAACAAGGAAAAGTGTGATGAAATTATTAAAGGTATACCTTATAACACTGAAATCTGCCACTCTTTACTATTCCTCACTTGGAAACCTTTAGAGTTGGAAAAGAAGTTCACGGGTCAAAATTGGGACATCTGGTACAAAGACAATACAGGGACCCCAGCTGAAAATGCTGTAGTTATATTACAAGTCACTTGTATGTAGAGCCTATTTGCCATTTCCACTTCCTCAGCTTCTTAACATTCATTTCATTTTCAGTTGCAGACAAATGTCCAGAGACGAAAAACGACTGCCAGTCAGTCCTTGTCAATAATGAAAAGCAATATACAGGCAGGTGTTATGCTCTTGACACTTTGCTTAAGCATGCACAGAATTTCACTGGGGATCGATGCTTTCCTGGATGCATCTTTCATCACAAAAAGCAAAACGAAGCTCAGAGGTGAGTGCATTCGTCGTGGCTGAATAGGAAAGTTCGATGTAGGATTCATGTGCAAATACTTGCAAGTGGTTAGATTTGGAGAGGTTGTAGGCTTGTAGCAGTAGTTTGGTACTCTGAGAAGTATCATGAAGCATAATATATTAATACATATATTATGCGCACTATCTACTAGGCTGTTTTACAACAGTATGAGCATTATTCATCTACTGGTTACACTTTGCTTTCAGCTATTTTTATCTGAACACATAGTGCAAGTGTGAGTTTGATGAAATTACTGAATAAAGCTTATCTTCATACCACAAGAGATGGACTGGCGGCATGCCACCCATCCTCCTCTCGAATTTAATCTGATTGTCATTCTGTCAGGAGTAACCAAATGGGATACGCAAACGTATAAATTCTGCTTCGATCCGAGCTGCAATCCTGTCATTTGCAATCACTATTAGTCTCCGGTTCCCGACTCCTGACGGCTGACCGTAAGTGTTTCAAGGTCTCAGCATGAGAATACATGAGCAGAAAAGAAACGAATTGATGCTTAAGTGAATGGCAAATTGCGGAATGGAGGTGGGTAATACTAACGGATCACTGGATATCGACGGCGCACGGGACGCCACCAACCCATCCATCGTTTAAGGACATTAAACAGACTGAATGGAACAGCAACTTATATCGGTCTTTGGTTTCTTTCCCCACAACTCAGATAAGTAGAGATTTCTCCGAGGCTGCGGAAGGAACGTCGGAAATCCGGTGCATGGATTCCGGAGCCAGGTAGATGACAGACGTCATTCTATGATTGAAAGAATGACGTTAGTACATTTTGTCCCAGCACTGTTTGGAACGTCGATTACTTTTGCTTGTGTATTTACCCATTATGATACCCTGCACATTTACAAGAGAATCGGACCTGCCTATATTTCAAACGCTTTTTAGCTTGTGCAAATGCGCGTCTAAATTCCTCCAGGGATCGGCAAGAAGCGAAGAGACGTGCAAGATTTGAGTCTCTGACATTCACAATTGATCAGCAACATCTTTCTGCTCTGTTTTCTCCACGGACCACGGAGGAACAAATGACAGGTTGTGAACACTGTCGATCCAAGAGCACGAGGTAGACGAGGAACCTCTGCCACGATCTGCACTATTTGTCACCACTATTATGCATGTTGTAGTCTACAGAAGCTCAGGTTAATGCTTATCTCATGTGGACACACAGTATTATCATTACGGCTTCAGCAATATTATCTAAGTCAATATTGGACAAATTAAATAATATCGATGTACATTTCGAACATTTACTGAACATATCGAAACCGAAATATTTATTAACCTTCTCTATATGCTCTACTTCGCACAAAAAAACCATTCCCTACTACTACGTGTTGTAGTGGCAGTAGTATTGATTTCAATCTCCTCTTCTGCATCATTAAGCATTCACATTGAAATCCAAATCCCCACCAACAAACTTGTTACCCACCATTCCCTCCGGTCCACAACTCACACCCAAGTCTCTCAACCTACCACTCTCAAGCTCATACACCCATCCATGGACGTACACGTTCTTAACCTTCGGGTCTTCACCTGTCTTCGCCTTTTGCCAGACGGATTGCATAACCTCGCTTGCGGTGATGTTTTGAACTTGAGCGCAGACGTTCGCTTCGCTTAGTTTCGTGAGCATTGCGATGCGTTCGTCGGGGGAGATGGGGGAAGGAAGGGAGGAGGTGCTGGCGAGTTGGATGAGTGGGGTGAGCCAGCGGGAGAGTGGGGTCGTTCCGGCTTATTCGAATTAGCAAGGCGTTGGTAGTCGTCGTTACGGATGGAAGGGTGGATCAGATGTTGAAAGGAACACGAACGGGGAGTTTTAATGTTAACGGAGTTAGTTTGTGCTGCATACGGTGCTCAAAAGAGAGAAGAAAAGTGGAAAAAGAGAGGAGCGGGATAAGGTGCAAAAGTAAGGTAAGGTTAGAGTTTGAAGTGACAGAATGTGTCAGGTGACGTGTAGAACCGAGAAGCGTGGAACGGGTAAAAGCGGTAACTCGAACTCACCTTTCAGCGCGTTACCTGAAGGGCTGCACGCTGCGTCATATGCGCCCGCAACGCCACCGCACTGGGTGTGTCCGACGACGACGACTGTGGAAAACGAAGGAAAGGAAGGTGAATGAGCATGTTTGGCAAGCTCATTCACAACTACGGATGAGAACTTACCGTGTTCGACTCCGAGATGATTAACTGCGTAAGCGAGCACCGCCTGAGCCGAGTCGTCGTCCAGGTGAAATTGGCTGCGAGAGTTCACAAGGACAACGCGAAATGATCCGCGGTTGATCAACATTGCCGGGAAAACTCGAGCGCGGTGAGCACACATACTTGGCGATGTTCCGATGAACAAAGATTTCACCGGGTTTGCAGGCCATGATTACGCTCTCTGGCACACGCGAATCCGCACATCCGATCCAAAGCACCTACAACAACAGCAAAACGAAGACGATTGTCAGAAAGCGGACTACAATAAGGCAAATGCCGGCTGGAAAGGACGGAGAGCCTTCGTGGCGGCCCAGTAGTGCTTCTGAGGCTCGGCATGGAAATAGTGCCTCCATTGATAGAGGCACCGAGATGGGGAATGGTGCAGACAAAGAGAGGTTTACATACCTTCGGAGCCTGTCCCTTGGCGCATTCGGTAAAGAAGCCAGGCTCGTGCTTGGAGACATCAGCTGCCCATTGGGCATTGGATGATAGCAGACGATTCAACTCTGAATGGAAAGTAGCAACACTCGTCATCGTGTGCTTCTAGTGAGGTGAATGGTAGAAGAAGAAAGTGGTAGGTGGGTGGTGATAACGATTTGCGAGATGAAGGGATGCGGGAATGACGAAGAAGGGGATGGAGGAAGGGAAGAGAGAGGTATAAGTACTCTGTCTATGCAGAAGGTCTGCACGTTCTGGGTGAGATGGGTAACCAGCAGCGGTTGTCGCGCGGGGAGCGGACTTTAGCAACTGCTGAGAGATAGCCGAACGGTTCTTATAGCTGAATAGCGCAACCGCGGTTCCAGCGGGGTTATCGTGCTGGTGGGGGGTAGAATTGTGCAAAGTAAAAATAAACGCCAGGAAACCACGGCGAGACGGACGGTCCGTGAAAACACGGAACAGGCGAGCAGTGAGCGATATGACGAGACGAAAATGTCGTGAGCAAATTACGCGCAGAGAGCGGACAGGAGAGGGGAGAAAAGGACTCACGTAGCGACGGAAAAGCTCGAAGAGGGCACGGAGGACCATGCATAAGATTAAAGATATCGATCGAGGCTAAGAGCAAAAAAACAAAGCGACTGATTGGTCCGTTGGGGAAATACTCCAGCCAATAATATTAACAAGACCTGTCCAATGATGACTACTTTGCCTTTTATGGATATACCGCGTCTGACCTAAAACATCACGGCTTTACAAGTACTAACACTACACCCGGCACACGGCGACTCCAAGCGTCAAGATCTCAATTAAATGTCGCAACACGGTGCATGCATGCCATCAACGAAGTTACTTCATCCCCACGCTTTCACTACGGATCGTCTCCCAACGCTCCAGACTCTATTCAAAACTACCAGCCGTTCCTCGTCAATAAATCCTCTCCTGGCTGGATTTGCTCCAGAAGTGATCGTCGCTGAACAAACTAGTGCATTATCACAATCCTACCAGCTTTATAGAAGATCAAGTCATAGATGAGGGGTCCCATGTGCCAATTATTCTCTTCACGCTGCAGAATTTTCAATAGTCGCTGTTGGTTCTCAAAGCATCTGGACTTTTATCGGTTAATGAAGGCCCGTGTCAAATCCACGTTAATTCACTTTGATATTGGTCTAAAGTAAGGGGTTTTCACTTTGTATCCATCTTCCCACCGATAAAATGCATCGCAGCTCTTTCTCGTCCGATACACGGCATTGAAATTCAATGAGAGGGCGCAAAACACGCCTGGTCTCTGGCTTCGAAATTCAAAACGCCTGTGAATATTTCAGGCCACTGGTGAAACGTTTTCTAGGCGTTTCTCTGTGATGGAGTTCTCTGAACTTTATCTTGAACTGTCTTTGAAACGTAATTGTCTACGCCTTAATGACTTATTTCTCCTCGGAATCGGAGGTGTTGCCTTCCTTTGTTTCCTACATAGTATATTGAAAATGTTTTATCGCAGTCATTTCATTGTACAAAAGCTGTACAAAAGTATCTGCATGACGAAAGACATTGAAATACATGAAAACTTCTAAGATCGAGTCTCTTTTCCGAAAAGGAATAAGAAGGACGTAATATCTAACAATTCGTTCTTTATCCTAAAACTTCCCTTTACTACAAAATTGTCACGCGCCAACCTCCAATGCCTCTACGAGGGGAACGGCAACGTTCTCTCGCCTCAACGACTTGTCCTGACGGGGCGGGGCAATTTTCGGGAGAAGCTGCACAACTCGAGTCTTCTGAATTTCGAGACCCTTGTTACCAAAGTAGCGTCCACACTCGAAGGTCCAGCAGTCGTTCGCTCGTACCCAACTGGCGACTCTGTGAAGATACGTCTGAACTTGGGAATCAATGGTTGGGCCCCATGAGGGCAACTTCTTTAAACCGTCGAGGAAGTCCTTTACAGTCTGAGCATGAAGCTGAACAACTTTGCTAATTGCGCTCTCTAGATCGATGTTGAACTCGTGCATTGCAACACTGATGATGTTGCTATGATCGTCTCCAACCGCTTGCTCCTTGTTGTATGAGTAAATATCCTGGTGGATGTCAGTTTCGTCATTTGGAGATGACCGCGCTGTTTTTGTGACTTACATTGTCAAAAATCATTAGGTCTGTTATGTTTACAGTTAAACTGACAACAGCAGGGTGATAGAATACTTCATCAGGAAGATCGAGATCAAGCTCCATTGGGACGTAGGACGGCACTGAGCCAATATTTCCACGACGATTTTCCAAGTATGATTCAATCGTGAGTTGAGTGTTATTGTCCCTATACGCCGCCTGTCGAACCACCTCTTCAGTATAATAGATGAACCCATCAATCATATGGCGCTGAGCAGATAACGTGGCTATTTTGATAGTTCGTTCCCAGAATCTGCATCAAATATTTTGGCATCTGTACAGTTTAGGCAGTAAATCATATTGCCTTTACTTACTGTCGAGTGACCTCTCCAAGAGGCATTTCTCCTTCTGGACGGGATTTTCTCGGATTTTTTAGGGCATCAATGACAATATCGACAATCTCTCTGACTGCTACTTCGGAATCTACATCGGTATATTCGTCGATGGCAAAAAGTAAATTCATCAGGTCGCAACCAGCGCGAAGCTCTTCTATACTATGGTCATTTATTTGCCGGCGTCCATCGAATGGCTGCAGCTTACCTCTGGAGGCCGAATTATAAGTAAGTGCAGCTAGAAGTGCTGCAATTTCATATTTCAGCAGCATATTCAGCATTGTAATAGTAGATAATACTGACCGAAATTACACTTCTCGAAAGCATACTGTGATCGTGGTGAAAATGCTTTAAAGTTGCGGAACCACGCATCGGACTCTGCTTTGACCTCTTCATAGTAAGGATTTATCGCCCGTTTCCAAGGCCAGTTTGCCAGGGTATCAGGGAAGGACAGTAGCTTAGCTTCGTTAGACATGAGAGAGGAAGGAGACGGGATGATAGTAGACACAAAGAAACTAACAAGCCTTTATACAATTCTAAATCATACGAAACATTCATGTAGCTGTTGAAGGGGCGATCTATTTCTGTCTAGACATGTGTGGTTTCAGGAAAGACTCGGAATACACAAGTTTGTGGTGATGGTTCATTATTTAGTCGGTAAAGTATTCATTGAAACACATCCTCACAATCCCCACCAATCAAGCTGTCAAGAAGGAAATAGAACAAGTCTGTAATGTAACAGGCACACTGAAAATTTGATCTAGCTGAGGTGACCCGCCAGGCATTCGCACAGTGACTGGACAGTTTTACTAGCTGTCTAGTTGCATCAGTGTGACACGCATGGAAGATTCGGATGAACTCCTTTTGTGATACAGATAAGGATCAAACACTTTCAGAGGTATTAGAATGTTTTGTTGACTCAGCCATACAGCCAAGAGAGCTATGATTTATCCACAATTAACTTCAGGTATAATGTCTCCTTTCATTGATAGGTGTTGGTCATAATATAAGAAACCCCTGAGAGTGGCTTAGACATGCAAGAAGGTGTTGCAGGCTGGCCGCTGGAACACACTTAAGAATCATCGGATCACATTGACCTGAAACATTTTGGATGGGGTGAACCAAAATGGTGATACAGAACAGTAGCTATTAAAACTTTCTTATTCTTCGACTAAATTCAATCGCTGCAGCTGGTGATTACTATAGTCATTTCGCAGTTACACCAATGGTTAAAAACTTTGCCCCGATTGGAATAGGTCTTTGCTTACATAATAGACGATCCCGCACTCACTTTCCATGGTTCCAACTTCAATGCTTCCCGTCACCCGTGCGTCCCTTTCACCCGAACCCCATCACGAAAAAGTCGCAACAAATGTATTTAATAATAGCAAAAGTAATCTAATAAAATGATTTCATAAGTATTACATTCTAAAATAATACTTATATTTTACTTGTAATGTAATTATAATGATTGTATATAAATGTAAGAAATATACAAAGTTTCTATTAAACTACAAACATGTTTTAGAGCAAGTAAGCTTACTAATAGTATTATTACAACATTACATGTGAGATACAAGCACTTAACTCTTATTATAATCTGCTAAAATTATATTATAAGTTATTTGTAACAATAGTTGATTAATTATAATAGTTATAAAAGTAATACATTGTACTTGTATGTTAATTACAATACTTCTAGTAAGATAATATGCAATTATATATATTAATATTGATAACAATCACTCTGTCAGACTTATAAAATAATTTGGTTTTACTTTTCAACAATATATTAAAGTGATTACATAATTGAGTACTGAAGATTGAGTATATATAATGATGCACTTGCTCTTGTCACTCCTTTTCCTCCTACCTCTACCATCTCCCCAACCCTCTTCCTCCAACACTATGTTGTTGCCCTTGTTCTCTCTAACTCAGTCCTCTGTCTACAAGTATCCTTTAGTAAGCACACTGTCTACAATTACTTAGACAATAAACATTACTGTATTTGTCTCTCTAATCTGCTACTATAATGCCTGTACTAAGCCTCAGATCCTGTAACAACACAACTGAGCTGGCTACACTGTCCTTTATTGTAAAGTGTAAGTAGCTAGTCTACTTTATAATAACTTACACAATAGTTACTCACTCCTCTCCTCCCAACTTTTTGTCTTCCTTTCATCCCTCCTACTCCTTACTCCTTACTCTACTACTTACATTGCCTCTTCTTCATTGTCCTCCTCTGTTTATGCTTGCCTTCCTTTTTGCATTCACATTTGTATATCTGTATTGTTGACTAATACTAAACAACTTTCTTAATATTTCTATACATTTGTATACTTTCTACTCTGTAATACAAGTAACAGTTAACAAGTATGTACTTACAACAATACTAACATATGACTACTCCTATAGTATGACCCTCTCTTTAATACTGTACACACTCTCCTTCCTTACCTATTCTATACTTAATGTTACTCTCAACAGGTCCACTCTATATGTATTTACATTCCTTAGTATAGTAGACAATACTATATTAAACAGAAGTAGTAGACTATCACTTACCCCTTCTAAGTAGAGTCTGTCAATACATTCCACTTTGCCTTCTCTGTTTGAGCTAGTATGTTCTAGAGATCAATCTACAATAATGACTCAGTTTACTACTCCTCTAATTGTATATTATAGTCAGAATATATAGTATATGTATACTAATACAGTTTTGTCTACAGTCTGAATCAACTCATTTAACACTCTGGATCTCAACCTGTATACACTACTCATACTCACTACACACTGTTATAGTATGTTTACCTTTTCTCTCCTATTAATACTTACTAACTACTCTAAACCTGTCTAACAAGTATAGACTCAACCTTTACAATCTACTCAACCTCAACCTACACACACACACACAATTTGACTCACAGGTCCTGAGTGACAACCAAACATAGTGACAAAGACTATATTAAACAGTCTAAGAATGTGTTAATCCTTTTCTGACACAAATTCTGCTCACAAAAGAACAAGACAGAGACTACTAGTAGTGTAAGGGTTAGAACTATAGAAATAATGTATTATTTATTATTTTGTATTAAATAATTAAATAATTATTTGATAAAAAATTGTATCTAAAGTAAAAGGAAGTGATTCAAATGCTTGTAATAGCTTATAAGTATTATAAGTAAATATTATACTGTTACAAATTAATAAGTATATTTTAACCTTATAATCTTAGAAAGTATATTATAATTACTTGTATAACTTAACAATTTACACAATTATAATTGTAATTGCCAAGTTCTAAAAGTATTCTTGTTTACTTATTTAACATTGTACTATTATTACTTAACCCTTTATAAAGATTATATTAACATTGACAAATTTTATAAAAGGTACAAAATGTATAGAATTATAAGTGAATACAATACTTAAGACTTTTTTGTAATACTATACCTTATAGGTCATGTCTCTCAAATAATAGTTACTAATACTGACTAATGTTAGCAGGTTACTTTACTTTACTTTATGTTAACCTTATAGTAAGAGTGGTTGACTTATGTTGTTAGAGTAATAGTACTGTTTTTACTGTAATACAGTATTCAGCAATCCCTTAAGACTGATTCATGTAACCTTGCAGTTTCACCAGCCACTTGATTACGTAATACTCTCCTATTTAATGTCTTACATACTCCTTGTCTTGTCTTATCAATTCTATTCTGTTGACTGTTCTGTGTCTCAGTATAGTATTAGCTTCACTTTTTTTTGAATGTCTCAACCTACTAGTCCTGTGATTGTATAAAGGGACCACATCAGACTGGTGTCACTCAGCATACACTCAGTGCCACCACAGTCAGCCAACTAGTTCTCCTGCTACTCAAGATCTCATACATCTGCCTTGTGTCCTAGCACTCTCTCCAAACCTTCCTGTCTAGTTGTGTCCTGTCTAGTCCAGTCCTGTCCTGTTGTATCCTGTCATGTCCTGCCAACCATGCCTCAAACTCCAGCAACCTTCTACAGCTTCAAGCCAAACACAGCTCCTATGGTTTTGGATGGCCAGATGTTAGTAAAGCTACTCTCTGAATACACCTGTTATTGTTGTACATTCTTTGCCCATGCAAACATAGTAGAAGATGATCAAGTCAGGCTCATAATCTACAGCCTTGAGCCTATTAAAGTATGCACATGGTACACTGCTCAGCCTGATTGGATCAAAGCTATAACCTTTGAAGAGTTCATTACTAACTTATACAACATTGTCCTTAAGCACAACTGGGAGATGAAGATATGTAATGAAATCAAGAATATGTATTAAGGTACTAACAATGCTAATACATTCTACTTCAAGATTTCTGGCAAGAACAATCTCCTGTCTGGTACCCTCTTTGCTCTGTCCAACCAAGAAGTTTGTTTCTTAATGAATGCACACTTTGAACCGGATCTTAAGCTCTTAATCAATAAAGCATCTATCCAGAATATTGTGGATTTCTCCTCATAGCTTCAAACAGTATGCAAAGTAGATGTACACATTCAGAATCAGAGAGAGCTTGTCTCTAATACTCTACACAACTACTGTAACAACTACACACATTAGTTAGCACCTCTGGCTCTTAGAGTTGCTAGGGCCCCTAACACTAATATCCAGGCTAGCCAGGGTCTGTAAACTCTCACAAAACTTGAGAGACTCACAGCTGTAGAGAAATTCATGCTGGACAGACACAACAGTTGTTTCAAATGTAAGTATCTCTACACAAATTACTAGGCAAAAGACTGTATAATACCTCTAGAAAGACAAAACTGTAGGGCTCTAACAGAAGAGGAAGGGATACACCTTTGCCCTAAGACTCTTCCTGCCCTAGTTCCACTTGGCTGTGTCAAGGCTCCTGTGTTAGCCATAGGTTCAGAACCCTGGACTTCTCAGATCCCTGACTATACATGTATAGTCCTCTAGCTGGATAACTCAGAGGAAAAGGAGAACATTGATACAGACATGTCTTAAGATGACATAGACATTGTTACAGCTGCTCTTAGGGTGGAAATGCCCTCTTCAGTCTATGTCAATGATTCTGATGAGTATGTGAAATTTAATGTTCCACAAATCCATTAGGACTGTTCACTTTCTGGCCCACATGTTACTACCTATGTTAAGACACTTATTGACAACAGATCATTCTTAGTAATTATTGATTAAGCCTTAGCTTAACAGCTCAGTCTCTAGCACTTTTGCCTCCCTAACCCTATACACATTACACTAGCTATTCTAGAGTTGCTGAAACAGTCCCTACAGGTCCTACATTACTATGTAAAGATTTCTCCTACTTCCTTAGATTCCTTATAGTCCTCCTACATCATTCCTGCCATTATTTCCCCTTCTGCTTGTACACCCCTTATTTTAGGACTACCTTTCCTCTAAGCAAACAATATCTCTATTTCCTACTCTAAAAATGGCATCTTGTGTACTTCTCTGTCTTATCAATT